AGTCGATCCTCTGAGTCGTCGCCCATGTGTTGATCTGAGGGGGCAGCGGATTGCTGATGCAAGGAGCTCTGGACTTGTTTAAGCTCCAGGGAGAGCTGATGCCATTTGCCGGAAGGAGCGGCCGTGGAGGAATGTTGTGCAGCCGCGGCCCATGGATCCTCTCCCAACGCCCATGGGTCCTGGGTAAGACCCGGAGGGGCATGGATTTGGGAGCGGAGAAGCTGGTTCGTACGTGTGGAAGCCAGCAGAGGTGCCGCCGAGGGTGGGGCTTTGGCCGCGTGGGAGAAGGAGACCAGCACGTCACCCGTTGACAATGTGAGTATCTCACCCGGGGGTTTTGAGACCGCTCCAACTTGCCAGCAAAGTTCGTGACTGTCGCTGCGCACAGGCTGTAATGGCTTTGCCCGCCATTGCCATTGGTTGAGAGCCTTCTGAGACCTGCCCTCTGAGTGCCGAAAGGCAGAGGATACAGGTGATATATTTCCTGGATGTCGAGTGGAACAAAGTCCTCACCAGGTCGTAGGAGTTTGTGCGCATCGGGCAGGTCCGTTGCTAGGAATCGCAACCCCATCTTGGAGCCGAAGCGGGCCAGACCAAGCGCGCCTTTGACTGACGATCGCTTACACAGGGTTTCAGCCAGGGAAGCACCTGGTAGCCATACCACTCCAAAGCGTGAGTCTGGAGAGCGATCGTCTCTGGGTTCGATGAAGATGCCAGAGGCCCCAGAGACTGACAAGAGGACAGTGCAGGCTGATTTGAGGATCCTTGCCATGATGGACCATGTGGTACTGTCTTCAAGGTGGTGGAATTGTCTAGCCCAGAGATCCAGTATCAGAGGAGTCACCTCGTCGACAGGAGGGTGGTACATCGGGCATTGATCTCCGCAGCTGTTGAGACGGCACGTGCGGAAGAGTGGTTGGACCACCTGTAGCTGCCTAACCGGACTCTTGACGAAGGCTTGCCAATCACCGGGCAAGGTATCCTTGTACACCACGATCCGGACTGTTTGGGTAGGCGTGTGCTCAACTTGAAGGCTGGCATTCAAATGTCTGTTGATCTGACCTGTGCCAAGCTGGATGAGTGAGCCATTGACGAGGACAGACTCCTTCGAGGTGCAGTGGTGTGCCGGAAAGCGAAGATCCACAATCGGCAGATTGCCACGGGCATCAGTCGGTACCGGTGTCGTGGAAAGAAGGGCCAGAGGCTTCGTAGCAATAGCCTTGTCCTGTTGTAGGAAGGGAAGGGCCTCTTGCACGGTGCAAAAGGCGATGCCTTGCTGGTCTGGACCAACCTGCCGGAAGGGGAGCATCATGGCGATGGAGCCATCCGAGCATTTGAAGGTATCTGGGACAAGTGCGAGCTGCTGTGGGTCTGGAAGAACAGGTGCAGGCATGTTCTTGCCCAATTTGTCTTGCTTGTTCTTCCTGTTGGAGGCTGAATCTTGAACTGCGATTGTGCTGATTCACGAATCTTCGCAGCCAGCTCGTCGTGCTTGATCCACATGAAGGCCACCTTGGGTCGAGAGGCAATTGCCTTGAGATGGGCCCAAGGATTCTTACCTGCAAAGGCTTGTGTGATCTCTGCCGCCGTCAGGTGTCGGAGGGCTTGGTCAATCCTCTCCTCAACTTTGTCGTCTGGAACACCTCTCTCCGCCAGGAGAGTGGAGAGGGATTGCCGAACCGGACTTGCGAGTGGTCCACAGCCTGAAGGACCAAAGCTGTGGTAGGAAGTCTGGAGCACAGTTGTCAGGCCAATGGGATCCACAATGAAGCCCGAGCCATCAAGGCCAAGTGCTGCAGCAAGATGAGCAAGCAAGATGCATCCGCAAGTAGTGGATTCCATCTGCTGGAAGTGGCAGCACACCGTGACCAATGGCGTTGGAAGTTGCCAAAAGCGTGCCAACAGGGAGACAAGCTGAGTAGCTTCCAGTAGTGGCGTAGAGAAAAGGCCGTTGTAGCAGAGAGCTTCAAGCTGATCGTCATTCAGTCGTAAATGGAGCAGGCACCAGTGGCCCTGAGCCGCAAGTGGAATGAAACACTCCTTGGGCGCGCTGGGTGGGATGGCTTTCAAGCCGGCATCTCGCAGCATAGCATGGGCTGTCCAAGGATTGACGAGAAGAGGATTCAGTGACGAGCATCCATGCAGATGAAGGGAGATTGGCCAGATATGGGAAGCCGCAAGACCTGGTTGCTGGGTGGGCGACCGAGAGGTAGTGGTAGTGGGCTGTCCATAACCAATGGGGTCGTAGAGGAGGAAGGTACTGGATGTCCACAATCGCTGGTCAGCAGGTTGCTTGCTGCCATCCAGTGCGTAGATCGAGATGCCGCTGTGCCACGGTGGGAAATCCCAAAGCAGCTGAAAGAGGAATGTGCCAGCAGGCACACAGTGCGCAAAGGGGCCACGCTCAGTGAGGATTTGGATGCAGAGCGACGAGGGCGGTTGTGGCAAACTGGCCTTCTTGGTCTGCAGGACCAGGTTGTATGGCCCGTGCCTGCCCTGCGCATGAAGGATTGCATCCTGTGAGAGCGTGTGTTGGCCATCAATGATCCTTGGGATTGTCCCCCAGGGTCTCCATTTGTGCTCTGCCTGTAGCAGGTCTGCCAGTTGTAGTAGCCCACTCCTCAAAGTGGGAATGGGTGTGCCTTCGTGGTGGATGCTGATGTTCGCATCTTCATGTGATGCCTGCAGAGGCCAGAGGTGATGTCGATCGAAGAGAAGATGCTGCTTGAAATCCCTGAGGGCTCGCTCAGGGGAGGGGAGTATGCTCCTGCCGGGAGCCTCCTTGATAGCGAAGGCCTGGAAGAGATGGCCAATGACCCAAAGTGCCTGCAAGGGTGATGCAACCTGGCCCAGCAAGCAGAGGCTGAGAAAGAGGTCATCACACAGGCGAAGCTGGGCCGGTATGGCCAAGAGGAGAGCCATCTCCTTTGGGTGTAGGTATCTGAGTTGGTCCAATGCTTGAGAGAGGACCAAGATGCCTCGAAGACCGCCCGTGCGAAGCCTGTCCAGTGTGAAGGGACCTGTGCGACAGCCACAGGGGCAGGCCGAGAAGGCACAGCCGTAGGAGTGGAGAAGCGTGGGGCAAAGGCCAGTACGCACAAGTTGCCGTTGGTCACTGCCGAAATCGGGGTCATGAAAACATTGCAAGGCAAACTCCGAGGGGATCAAGCTGGTTTCCACATCACGGGTCCAAGAGGGCCATTCAGGGATGACCGATCGAACCTGTTGGAACTCTTCATCAATCGGCCATGGAACCAACAGGGAAAGATCCAGCCGGAGGGGTGCCAAAACCACCCACCACCTAGAACGGCGAGATGGCCACTGGTGGTGCAAATGCAAAACAACGTCCTTGATCTGAAAGCCCATTGCCGATGCCAATTGCAAGAGTGCGGTCTGTACTCCTGTGCAAAGTTTAGCACCTGGGACACATTCAAGGATGAGGCCACGCACCTGCATGCAGTAAGCGCTTCTGAGAATACCCAAAAAGGCCAAGCTGCGGCCATCTGACATGGCGCGTCCATCGCCCTGCGTGGAAAACGGCTGGCAAGGGAATCCGGCAGCAAGAAATGCAGGGAGTTCCGGGTGTACCTCATGCAATGCGTGAGTAGCCTTCCAGTCAGTGATGTCCATCTCAAGCACACAGGGTGAGTGATTCGCCCTCAAAACCTCACAACAGTGGTGGTTCCTGTCCAGCTGGGCAAGAACTCGGGCGCCGAAGGGCAGGGCACCAATGCCGATGCATCCATTGCCTGCACAGGCCTCCTTCAGGAACCATCCTGAATGGTCCTGAACTGCATGGGGAACTATTCGGGTGTGCTTATCAGGTGATAGCATCAGCCATCCTCCAGAACAACCGGGACAAAGTAGATCGTTGCTGTCTCACCCACAAGAAGCAGATCTTTCGGGGTCCCAATAGATCGAAGGGAGTGCATCACCAAAGCAGTGTTCACTCCAAGGCCTTTGATAGCACCAGAAAATCTAATGCCCTCCGTCGGGCAATCCAACCAGTTGATGCGATCATCCTGGGCCATGGCAAGTGAACCACCCTCCGGCGATCAGCTGACGCGGGCTCACCAGCTGACAGGGGCCAGAGCTCGAGCCTAAAGCACAGAAAGCAAAAAGGGGAGCTGGGGAAGATGGGTGTCCTGGTGCTTTCCCGTTCAACCAGCTCTCCACAAAGGGTACCCTCAACCCAAAAACGCCCCCCCCCCCTCTCACATTGCTTTGGATTGGTGCCTTTTTGTCTTGGAGGTTATGGCCTGGAGGTTAGGGAGGGGCTCTACAAGAACCAAGGGTTCACTTGCATGGATATATGCTACTTCCATTTGCTTCAGACCCCTTGGAAAACATAAAACAAAATGTCCAGTAGTGATAAATTCCTTTTAACACCAACATGGGAAAATACAAAAAAAAATCTTAAGCAAATTGGAAGGCTACCAATCCATGACCAATTGACAAGGCTGGGTCAACGACTACTCTGACAAAGGTGAACCACAGGTTGGGTCAACGGGGGCGGGGGGGGTTGCCGCGCTTGGAATGACAGCTTGTGTGAAGCGATATCCGTCCCCTTCAACTCAGTGTGCAACTCAGCAGACGAAAAAGTACACTCGTGCAGCCCAAATAGGGCACCAAACAAACAGACCATGGCCTTACCAACCCTTGGGCCACGTCCCTCACGCGCCCCCAATGAGCGGCGGCCTCATATCTGCACTCGGATAGAAAAGATCTCGAGATGATTACAATTCTCCATGGGGATGTAAAGCCAAAGATGGAAATTGAATAAAACTTTCCAACGGCGCCCTTTAAACATACTCTAATACCGGCTTAGTTCTTTTCGACGTCAAGAAGCCCCTCACCTCACTCCCTCACTCCCTCACCCCCCCCCCCCCGGCCCCCCTCCCTCCCTCTCTCACTCTGCGATATTGACGGATTCCTCTTTGAGACACTCTCTCCTCGGACATGTTGATTCGACTGCTCCGCACTGCTGCCCATCCGCCTGCCTCGTCCACCATGCCTGGCCGTTCGCGCGACATGGCGGACGTTCTCCACTCCAAAAACGGGGGGAGGGGGAAAACTATGGGGCGCCCCGCGAGATGCGGCTGCAGCTGCTTGATAAAGAGATCAGCTGCTTGAAAAAGGGGGGAGAACCACTGGGCTCGGAAGATGCAGCTTGAGAAATAGAGATCCTCAAAATCAGCTGGTGATTTTGCTGGGTGAATTATAATATTTCACCAGCCTGAAATAAGGTAGTTGGAGGGATATTCCGCACATAAACCACCATTTGGTTGGTGAATTCGGTCGTGTGAGGTCATTATAATTCACCCAGACTTTGGTTGACAAATCTCACATCCCAAGTCCTCCAACTCCCCAAACTCCAGAATTCGGCTTCGCAGCCGCGGGTTTCCGCCCTTCCGAAAGTCCCAAGAAGCAACTTTGGCTAGAACCGAATGGGCCAAAAACTGAAGCTTCCGTCCGGATTTTCTAGGATGTCATGCATATGCTTGAACCGTGCTTTTTTTGGTGTGCCGCGTTTTTGCTAGAGGTTGCATCTCGACAAAGTGGGTGTTCGCTGCGGGTTGTCTTGTAGGAAAGGAGACATGCCCTGCGATTGACATTTGTCGTTCCCAATCGGCCACGTTTCTGGTGGACATTCATGATTTTGGGATCGCACGATAGTCCCATTTCCAAACATGGGCGCGGACTTCTACCCTTGTAAGTCACTTCAATACCTCCATTTGCTTAAACCCCCTTCCAGTAGTGATTGGCTCCATTTGACACCAACAGGGAAACAAACACCTATTCTTATATCAGCAAATGGAAGAATCAGCTTTGGATCGTAAATTCGAGCTTGACATGTAGGTTTGCTTGGAGATCCAGTTTTTGTTCCAGGTTTTGGAAACTTGTAGAAATCTTTCGGAATCAGAGCTTTTGTGGATGGGTAAAACCAACTGGCATCCGCCGGGATGGATAAAGCCCAACTAGAACAACCACCTTCCAAGTGGTGCAAAATGACAGACATACTGTGGGTAGACAAAATCCGTTCGCACCACCTAAGAAACCCTGGAATATGTTCTGTGAAAATACCAACAAACAAATGGCTTCAACCATGTTTCAAAGTTTAGCCATGTGTCCATCTGGACCTCACTTGCCAGGACCTGAAAATAAAAGGTTAACCTTTTGGGGTCATTAGACCAAACCCGGAAAACTAAAAGGTCAAAAAGTCGGCTTTGCAGTATTCAGCCAGAGAAATTCCGTGGCAGAGCGCAATGGCCATTGCCCAGGATCTCAGAAAAAAAAAAAAAAACAATCATGGTTGCCAACTCAGGCAAGAAACCACCAAACACTCAGAGTCTAAGAGGCTCACCTCTTGTGACCTTGCCTCACGTCCGATCTGGACCGACCAAAAATGGTCCAAACCCACGGGACTGAAGTCCATGAAACTCAGGGAGTGAGCTGGACAGGGGTCACTGGAATTATCTTGGAAAGTTGATCAACTTGCTGGCTCCCCTTCAAACAAAAATAGCAACTTTTAGATGTCCAAAAAAAGGGAAATGGAGGGACACCTGAGCAACAGGAAAACCTGGGGGCAAAGCATCATTAGAAAACAATGGTTGGGTTAATATAACCACCATTGTTTACCTAAACCCCTAAGGTAAATTGGGTCCCAAGCATAGGTGTCCTTTTTGAAAAGTAGATGGCCCTGGTAGACGATTGAACCACAAGGTCAGCCCGGGTCCTCGATTTTTCAGTCAAGCCAACCAACAAGGACACCTACATTCCCATTGTGGGGGTCACCCCCGCGGGACAAACCACCATTAAAAAATACCATACAAAAAATATGTTACACAAAAAAAACCAAAACCAACAACAAAAACACATCGTGGGGTTCATCTAACCACCCTTGTTTGCCTAAGGCCTTAAGGGTTTTCCTCGCTTTCGGATCAAACCCCAAAATTCGCCCAACGCTCCGCTTGATTCGCTACTCCGCCTGGGCCGGGTGTGGCACGCGATTCCCGGCCCCGGTTTTTGCCCGGTTGAGCCCTGAGACCCGCCCGGACGATGTGCGCACTCAAGGATTCTACAGGAAAATGGCCGGCAGGAAATGGAAAATCTACAGGAAATCTGGACAACTCTGCAGAGTTTGGCCTGGAAAATCTACCGGAAACACCCTAAATTCAGCTGTTGTCCTGTAGAACTTCCTGTAACCCGGCCCTTTGGAGAGATTCGTGCCAACCCAAATTGCGACATTGAATTCAAAAGGCTCCAAGAGGCGCTATCGATTCGATCTAACGTCGGCTTCAAGCTGACCCAAAATGCACCGTTTTTGAGAGGCCATGGCACCCAGGGAATGGATTTATGAAAGTTGATCAAGCGGTCCGAAAGACATGAGTCATAACAGGGCTCCCGAGTTATTTCCCCTTAAAACATTACCCCCCAAGGGATACTCACCTTCCATGGACCAAAAAGGTGATGTTTCAATCCACCAAGGGAAATATAGGGACCCCTGTCATAATCAAAACCTGGTACACAAAACATTTCGCCAGAACCATGTAGGGAAATGAAACGGCGAAATTCCGCGCCCATTTGTGGCTGGGATCGTCCCTTACCCTCCAATTACCCAGGTTTTGATTGTGACGCACACGGCTTGACTGCCATTGGTTGGCAAACCAAACAAAATTAGATATGTCAACCACTAAACGGGAAAGTTACCCTTTGTCGTTTGGGTGCCGGGAATATTGACCCTATATTACGGTCTGTTGCATGTTCTTGGGGAAACGGATGAAGAAAGAAAGCAATATGGGTGTGCCTTCTTTTAGGAATGGGACCCCCCAAATGGCGGAACGGTTGTCCTTCTGGTGTTCCTTTTGCAACACTCCCAAAAAAGAATGCCCTACAAATACAGACTCATATGGCTGTGGGTCAAAACCCTGCACCGCTGGTGAACCTCAAAATCGGTGGCAAATGGATGTTCCTCCACCGCAAAAATGGGATCGTAGGCTCTGCAACCCATGGCCATCTCCAGTTTCAGGCGGAGCCGCGCGCCGCTTTTTGGCTCTTCCGACGCGTCACCTGGCAACGGCTCGGTGATTCTTGCCGGAAAAAATAAGCAGGGCTAGGGAATGTGGGAATCAAGGGATTCCCGTAAAGAAAACCACCAGCTGGATGGGCTTTCTCGGGGTCATTCCATTTCTCATTCCCTACCTATTGCACCAGCAAGGCTCTGAACGTTGGGATCTCCTGAAAAGCACTTGTACCGGAATGACTCCCGTTCTAGAACCTCTCGTGGTGTCCTGTAAGGGCATTCCCTTGGTAACCCAGTTGCTTCATTTGAATGGGGGATCCTTTGGCGGGGATTCATGTCCACCAACCACGTTGAGGTGATTACCCATTAGGAGTTGGACAAAGGAACGAGCGGGGATACGGAGGGAGCGGGGATCTGGGGGGATTCCCTTGGCGCCATTTCCCATACCAAACTTAGTCAAGGTGCATTTAGGGGGAATCCTCCCGTATCCCTGGTTCCCCCTGTGTCCCTGCTGGTTGGTGTCCCTGAAGGAGCAACCTGTTCAATGCAATTAAAGCGGGTTCCTTTCGGATCTTCAGCCCGTTAAACGGCTACGCGGAGGTAACTCCGATTTGAGTGGACTGGCCAAAGCGACTCATCGGCTTGGACTGTGTTGTTTAGCCCTAGGACCCAAGACACTATGTGGGAGTGTCATGTTTTGCAGGTAGTACTAACTGTTGGTGGTTTTACAGGGAAGCCAAAAGGCAGACCGCAATTTTGGGGACCCCTAAAAAAAGGACTGCTATGTACAATATGGCTCGTGGGGTTTTGGGCCCCTAAAAAAGAGCCAACGAACGTTTCACAGGCCGTGAAGCAGGGGTTCCGCAAGAAATGGTCGAACAAACGTGTCTCAAAGTGCATGCTGACAGAAGAAAGATTGCAGATTTCTGGGAACCCAGCAATGAAGGATTCCTTTCAATCTCGGCCGGCCCAACAGGAAAACAAATTCAGGGTTGTGTTTAAACATGGAGGCTAGGCCAAGGGGATGTCATTACACACGTCTGGCAAACCGACCCGTTTGGCAAACCAAGTAATGTTGACCCAGGATTGATAAACCCGTCCCATTATTAGGGGGGGTGTTCCCTCCAAAAGTGGTCTGAATCCCCACTAAAAGGGGACACCCCCCTATTAATCAACCAGGGGTTTATTAATCCGGGGTTAACATTGGGATGGATGTTGTGGATTGCCAAACTGAACAGCCCAGCTTCTTGTAATGGTGGTCTATCTATCCATGGTGTAACAGCACCAAGGCAAATATCCTCTGCGGTTTTGGGCGAACACGAAGTAGCCCAGGGAATCAAAGAGGTACACGTGGTTCACGAAGTACCAAAAGAACCCAGTCCCAAAGCACAATGTAGAAGGTGCCGGTGACCAGATTGTGGGAGTGACAGTTAATGAAGATCAAGTTTGGGGAGGTTAGGAAATAGGTTGAAGAAGAGAAGTTTGTGTCCAAGCCCAGGATGATCACGCAGAGATCCTCCGCCCACCTCCCAGTGCCTAACCACAGCGACGCCAGGACCCTTTTCCCGACGGCGTAGCGGTCAGCCGCACTATGGCTGGCGCAACGAGACTCCGTGACCCCCCTGACGGGAGGGCAAAACTTGAGCCAAACGGCCATTCGGCCGTTTTGCCACATGAAGAAACAACACGTGAACAAAACACACCCCCCTCATCCGATATCTGGACGAGAGAAAGGATGCGAGACAGTTGAGTTCACGACGAAAGGAACCAACCAAAAATGCCGATGTCAACTCAGAGGTGAGCCAAACGGCAGCACCCGGGCCCCAGTTAAAATCCCGCCACCACCCCGAATTAGCGGGGCGACAGGATTATTTGACGAGTGGGCCACATGAGTGAACAAGGACATACTGGAGGAGCCAGACGAAGATTCCTCTCGTGCCGTTCATGCATTGTCATGGGACAGCAACATGCGGAGGGGGACCCTATCTGGATCACCGCGCCTCACTGCATGCCGTAATGTGGTTGGAGGAGTAACCGAGTTGGGAGGAGAAAGGAAAAGGACGTTCCGAAATTGGTGTGAAAAATATCCGGCTACGGCCGGCCCGGCACTTCTAGTGCGGTCACAGCCTCACACAGGATCGCCAGGGGAACCGTCACCAGCGCGCACGGCAGCGGTGCGGGAGGAACACGAACAACGCCGGATCAGCGGTACAGGGCAATGGAGACCATCACCCCCAGCAGTGCCGCATGGGCGAGAGGAGGATCGGCGCGGTCGCGTTTTTCGGCGACACGCGTGCCATCCTCGCCCTTCTAAGGCGGATGCTGATTGCGGTACCTGCCTACCACCCTGAACCGGGTTCTTCCCGGTCTCTGGGTGCGTCATCTCTCCGACGTCCACCGCGGTCACCTCGATCGCCTCCTCCATCCCGACGGCGATCCTCACCACCACCCCTACTGTGGTCGCCAGCCGGATGTCGGCGAGGCGGAGGGGGATCTGATTGGTGACGTCGGTCATCCCTGCGCCGGTCCCGGTGGCGATCGCGACGGTCATCAGCCGGGTCATCACGTCCGCGGCGCTCATCTCGCCCCGGACCGCGCCTCTCGGAGGGCTCCTCATGACGTGCGATGACGTGGAGGAGGTCGGCGATCATCGCGTCGGCCTCCGCGGGTATCCCTGCCACGATCATCCCTTTGTCGGGGCGGGCCAGGATCCTCGCGTCCACCTTTGCCAGGTCGATGTTTTCCTCGACCCTTCCCCTCACCCTTAGGGCCGCGACGATCCTCGCGGGCCCCAAGCGCGGTCCTTGATCGATCGTCATCTCGGTGGGGCCGTGACTCATTGGCCGCACGAGTGGTCCGAGGCACGCCCGGGGGAAGCTCCCATTCTTCGTCGTCGTCATCGCGCGGGTCATAGCCGCCACGGCCGCCCAAGGAACCAGTGGCCTCCCGTGGTGGGGACGCAGGGGTTCCGGGACCGCCCGATCGAAGACGAACCCGGGGAGTCGCGTCCTCGCCGGTAAAAGGATCCTTCTGGGTGTAGAACCCCTTGGTTCTGCCCCTTCTCTCCCCCCCTTCCGCACCGCTTCTCGCGGGGACCGGGGACGGACGGGCAGGCTGGGCCATGCTCTTAGAGCTGGGTTGCCCGCCAGGCGGGACGTGAACGCCCCCCTGCCCTTTCTCGGGCGCAGGGACCCGACCACGAGATGTCCTCCTGGCCTTGGGTTGGTCGGTGTCACCCTCCAGCTCGGACTCGGTGTCAGGGACACGAGTATTGACGGCCATGTCCTCTTCCTCAAACGGATCCCCAGCCGTTGTAACGCCCGCAACAATGGGAGCGGGGGGAGGAGGAGGAGGAAGTGGCACAGCTTCGCCAGAACCGACGCCTGTGTGAGACACCACGGGAGTCTCCGGTTCTACCGGGACAGGCGGCGCAGGAGGAGCCGGGGGCGGTGGCGGAGGGGGAGGGATCTCCTCCTCATCGTCGCCCATGGGCTCGTCAAGGTCGTCAGGCTTCTCGTCATCTTTGTGCGAAGATCCATCCGATCCCAGCTCATCCTCCGCTGATCCAGCAAAGTCGGGCTCGTCTTCGTCTTTCACGCTGGTGTAAGGCGGATTCCGGGCCGATGGCGATCGCGGGGTCGGAAGCGGTACTTCCTTGGTACAGGATCGGCCAACTCCTGTTTGATGTCGTCCTGGGTCTGCGGACGGTCGGCCAGGCATGTGTCGTAGGCAACGGTGGACGTCCGGTAGATCAGCTCATCCATACTGCTGAGGTCGTTGAGCGTGTAGACGTACTTCTTTATGCCTTCCCGTATCGTGTCCATAGCCTGTTTGAGACGCGCGGCGGGATCGAATCCGGCCTTCCTCCGCATGGCTTGCATTATCCCACAGTGTTGTGCGAGCAGTTCCACCTGGGCCTTGAACGCCTCCCCGGACACATCGTTGGGGAGTATCGGAGAAAGGTGCCCTGATCTCAGCCCAATGATATGGGCCTCGACCATATAGTAAGACGTGTAAAAG